TTTTTTTTTTTTTACTGTGCATAGCTGTAGCTGAGTAGTAAGACCTACTACATTACTGTATTTTAATGTTGGTCATTATGGTGGTACTTGGTGTAAAAAGTTTGAGAACCACTGATTTATAAGAATGGTTTTCCACCGATGACAAAAGCTCAACTTGACACAAACCTGTAATGATACAAGCAAAACTGGCTTGTGTTGTTGATTACTCTCTGTGATGTGACTGCTTTTACTGAGCATCCTCTGTTACTCACAGGAATACTGTTGGGACACTCCTCCACTGTGGGGTGCAGGAGGAAGTCCACTTTAGCAGGACCTCTGATGTAAATGCAGTTAGCAGCGACATCCTCGGGTACAGACAAGATCTCATAGTGATGGTCAGTCAGCTGCTCCATCACCTGGAGCGAAAACAAAAAACACACACACACAGCTGATGACGTACTTGTTGATAATGTGACTGCATACATCTATGTACGTGTATGAAGCGATTATGTCACGCAGCACACACTCACTCTGAGTGTTTTCTTGGCCCCGTCACTGCTGCTGATGATGATGGTATCAGGGCCACCCATGGAGCAGATGTTCTTCAGACGAGAGCCTCCACACACTGGCACAGTGGACACTGCAAAGTCCTGAACACACACAGACATTTGTTATTTGCCTTTTCCTAGTAATTTCCAGTTATTAGTAATACTTCCCAAGGCAAACCCTGAGTATTAAATATTAGGATGCCCATGCTATGAATGAGGCTGGTCTCTTCAGTGTTTAAGCAACCACTCACCAGTCACAAGCACTGCAATGCTATTATTTTTTTTTTTACACAGGCAAAGCTTTTACAGTGATTCGATAATCCACTTTAGACATTCTACTAACTACAAGTAACTACATGTCAACGGACTCTCATTAGAGTATTACTACACCGTTATGTTAGGGTAGAATAGTAGAATATGTTTACAAATACTTGCAAACTTACTTATAGTCTGTTGGGGCACCATACAAATAAAAGTGTTAGCAGATACTAAGCAGACAGTGTACTAATACTCGAATGACTGCTAGTTGACATTCTTAAGGTTAGGAGAACGTCTAAAGGGGACTATCGAAATAAAGTGTTACCAAAAAGAGGCACCTTGTGATCATCTGACCAAACAACAAGGATTCAGTTCAAAGCATTAAAGCAATGAAATTCATTATTTAAAAATCTGTCATCTACAGTATATAAAGTGCACGATGATTCACGGCATTCTAATCAGCCGGTGCTAACAGATCCAATCCGACCGAATCACAGCGCTCACCTTGAAGGTGTCAGCCAAAACTTCTGCCCCACGGTGATTGGTGTGTTTCGAAATGCCTACGAAGAACTCTTTTCCAGTGAAGAGGACATCACTTCCTTCTAGAGTGGCTCCAGCAGACCCGCCCTCCTCGTCGCCCATCTCCAGCACCGTCAGCTTCAGCTCGCTCAGGACGCGCCTCACCGCCTCCGCCTGGAGAAAACACATTGCTGAGCCCCAGTAACGTCTGCATCTCCTACAGCCCTGCGTGTGCCGCTTACCTCATCGCGTCTCTGCTGTTTGAGGGGTCGTGTGATGAGCGCCGTGTCACCTTGGATCACAGCCACGTCTTCGATCCTCCAGCTCTCCGGCAGCTCGGAGACTGCTGGGATTTCTATCAACTGCAGCCCCAACTTCTGCCTCAGCGCGCCTGTCAGCACCCCCATCTGACGCTGGGCCTTGGCGAGGTCCGTCTGAAACCCTTCTCCGCCCTCCGCCAACTTCCCAAAGGATTCTGGGATACCTCGGACCACAGCATGCGTGAAGCAGCCGTATGGATAAATATTGGCCATGACGGCGTATGTATGAATGGTATGCGTGTATGACAGGTGTCTGTTGAATGTTTGTATATAGGCTTGACTGTGTGTGTGAGGGACTCCGATTCATAAACTGAGTAAATTTTAAGTCTATGCAGGACAGTCTTGGAGTGGAAGTGACTGCAAGCCTCTAGCAACAGCAACTTCTTGACGTCCCCGGATCCCCTGGGCAGAAACCTCCAGGAGTGTGTTTGTCCCTTTAATACTGCCTGAGACAGAGAGAATAAACTGAGAGAGAACTTCATATCGTGAAGAGCTTATAGACCAAACCAACTATTTATGTGAATATTTGGAACCTCTAGGATCAAAAGTGAAATTAATCAACCTGGTGCACTTTCTTGAGAGCTAAATTAAGAGCTCAGACTCAGTGACCAAACTGAATAAATAATGTCTTTGCACCTGGACTTTAAAGTTGACTCAAACATCTACTGATTTCAGTTGTCAGAGTGTTTCATTCCACATCACATTAGTGTCCCGTTACTGTTTATCAAGTGAGAAGCAGCTTTAAACCATTCATGTGCATAAGACAGGGGTCTCCATGGCATGAGTGAACTGAACAAATAATTGAAATGTTTTTTTTCCTACCTTGTATCGGTTACATAATAATGTTTAACAGCTTTGTCAGTGGATAAAACACGTTATCTGTTTTCAAATGCTTTGAACTTAGTTATGCATAAATGTTATGCATATACAATGAGTATAATATAACGTAATATAATGAGTAAATGTGCATGTAATAATAGCATATAGGCTACTGTATGTATGTACGTGTCCTAAATTATATTACTTGTGTGAATGTCCCAGGGGTGTCCAGGAGGGCCACTGTCCTGCAGAGTTCAGCTCTAACCCTAACTAAACACAGCTGAAGCAGCTAATCAAGCTCTTACTAGGCATACTAGACACTTGCAGGCAGGTGTGTTGATTTGGAGCTGAACTCTGCAGGACACGGCCCTCCAGGAGCGAGTTTGGAGACCCCTGATATATCCTAACAAAATGTATCATACATTTCTTTGGTTTATATGTATCCAGAGTAGTACCATGGTATTCTTTCAAATCATCCATTCGTTAAGAAATTTCTACATTATACAATACATTTTTTGGACATGATCTGTATTTTAAAATCATTTGCAAATCCTAGAAAAGTTACCGCAGACAAGGAAACAACTGTATCCACATTGTTCAGGAAAAACAAAACGCTTCTCCTTTCAGTTAAACGGAACTGCTGACTCTGCAAGTGTAGTCTTACAAGATATCAAGATATACCACTGCTAGCTTCCAAACACAGATAATGATACCGGTTACGAACATAATATCATCTGCTTATGGATATTTGTGTTCGGAAAACATTTACACACTGCCGACTTCGGTCTTTACAAACATGCAGCACACAAACCCAGTGGTGCAAACATGAATAAAACACGACTTCATTCCACTTTAGTTGACTTTCCCGAGGAGATTCGAAGAAATGTTTCTCTAAAGTCGTCCAAAGGTGTCTCGGCTGCCAAAGTTGACGCCCTGTTGAAATA